ACGGACACTTGTATTTTTTAAGAATTTTGGATTTTTTTTGTGATAAAAAGGATCGTTAGAAAGAGTTAAGATAAATGTTGCTTTGACACTTTTTGGTAGTCATAGAAAACTTTTATTTTTATTTAAACTCATAATAAATCAACTGAAAAGTCTTTTCTCACCAAATCTTAAATGTCTTAACCTGTTGGTTTGTTGTGTAGTTTTTGTCAGTTTGTGTTTTCGAGTGGTGACTATCTAGACCCGCATATTTCTAGTTTTGCCACTAACATTTGTAGTGATGACTGTAAGATCCGGCATAATAAACCTAACTTTGCCAAAATCGTTGCAAGTTTTTTATAACTAATATTAAAAAAAAAAACTAAATCTAATTACAAAAGGAAAAAAAAGAGGTGTGGCGACTTAGTGTAGTGGTCTAGTCATCATCCTCTCCAAGTGGCAGGTCTAAAGTTCAAATCCTATAAACAATGATATTTGAAAAATAGGCTTGTGTTCAGTTGACGGCTATGCATATCGGTTGGATCTAATCTGTAACTTTAGTCACACCATTTAGTAATAGGAGCAATAGCACAATAAATCCAAGAAACTGGCATAACCGAAAACCCATTTGGAAACAGAGTTAATACCTTGATCCGGATTCTAATTATAAGATTCAGATCTTATTATTAAGATCCAGATCCTAATTATAAGATCCGGGTCTTAATAATAAGATTTGGATTCTAATTATAAGATCCAGATCTTAATATAAAATCCGGATTTAATCTAATGTGTATTTACTTATCTGTTATCAGTTATTAGTTATTTAAAAGAACATACGTATGATCAATTACTCTTGTACTAATGTAAAGCAGAAATTTCTAGTCACTTAAGTCTTTACTATTTAAAGTTTGTCTTCAGCAAGATTCATACAAATTAACGTCTGAAAGCACATTTTCATTTAAAGTAAAGTAATAACCATTATTAATAAATGTGTAAGTAGTTTTTTCAGTTTAAGCAGAACTCAGTGCCACCTAGTGTTCGATTTTTTAATTACCAAACCCAGACTTTCCGCTATATTAACTTCTTGTGTCGATGTTGATAGTGGTTTAGAATTTTTGCCGGCTAATTTAAATATATTCAAGTGTTTGGCAGATAAGAGAACAGAAGCAAAAGTGAGAAAAATTAAATCCTGAAAAGAGGCTTACTGTAATAAATTAGGAGAAGAAAAAAAGTATACAAGATTGAATTTAGCACCACTTGTACCAAAAATATTGCTTGACAAAGAAGAATGCGAAATAAAAGAAAGTAATTATTTAGAAAATGTGAATTATTAAGAAATTTCTGTGAAAGATAAGCAACCTTTTTCTTGAGAAGTTAATCAGAAAGAACTTTTATCTTAAGGCAGCAAAACTGTCAGAAGTAAATTGCATCTTAATACAGTATTTCTGGTAATATGTTTAATGTATTTTTAACAAACTTGTATGCTTTGTAGTTATTGTATACTATTGTGATATTAATAGCATTGTATTAAATTGTTATAATTAAAGCTATTAATATATGATCTTTTATTAATCGTTCTTAGAACTAACTTGTACAATACCCTTTTATTAATAATATTATAATGCTACCAGGTTATGGAATTATACATATTGCTAAATAAAATTTTGATAATCTAGAATAGGTTACAAATATGCGCTTGTGAAAAATTAAGTCAAGTTTACAGTTGAAAAAAAAAACAGATAAGAATAAGATTATTCATCAGGTGGAAACATTGTGTGATAATTGAAATTTCTTTTTAAAAACAACATCTTATTTACCAAATTAGGATTAAGACGAGTTCTTCTAGCAGAAATATGAGTGTTCATTACAGAAATTTATAAATTTTTGACAATGCTGTCACGATATAGTAACGATATTATCTCAAGATAACCACGATTCTGAAAAAATTTTGTGGCGATTTATAATGCTACAATATTTTTACCTTATAGCTGCTACATCGTAACTATAATATAAAAATCTAGTAACAATTTTGTTAAGATTCCATAACGATTTTAGTAATAAAATTGTTACAATATTACAATAATCTTACTACAACTATACAAAAATCAAGTAATGATTTTGTTAAGATCTCATAACGATTTTAATAATAAAATTATTACAATATTAAGACAATCTTACTACAATTACACAAAAATCGAGTAATGATTTTGTTACGATTCTCTAACGATATTAATAACAAAATTGTTATGATATTACAACGACTTTATTACAACTTTTATTAGATCTAATGACTATTTATTTGTCAAGTTGCTATGATTTCTTTATTACAATCTTATTACAATTGTTATTTGATTTTGTGGCAATTTAATTGTCAAATTATAGTGATATCATAGCAATTTAATTACAATTGTTATTAGATTTGGTGATAATTTGAATGCCAAAATGTAACAACTTCGTGTTAATATAAAATTATAATATGTATTTAGAAAATTATGATAATATGTCTTAATATGGAAACTCAATAAGCTCTATAAGAAAAATATATCGGATCAGATGGGCTTTTGTGGCATGGGTCAAGATCTAGATTTGTACAGGTATGGTCTGAGTTGGTACAGATTCGGTGGTCTGTGTGGGACTTATGCCCATGCCAATTGGGCTGTAAATTGGACCATTAACCATATTTGCCACAACAAATTTGAACTGGCAAATTCTCGATTTAGATTTGCTAACAGCTGAGAATCTTTGGCCCACATTACAAAATTGTTTACTAATCTCTGGCCAGAATTAACTTTTAATTTTTTCATTACAAAAATAAAAATTTTTAAAAACCTGTATTATGCTCAGGAACATTAGTAAAACTATAAGCAATTCTGGTCTAATTTTTTGTTTATCACTCTTAGCCAATAAAAATCGAGAATTTACTAGTCCAATTTTGTTGCAGCAGCTATGGTTAATATTTGAATCACTACTGCAGCAATTTGTAGCTTAATATATCTGAGATTTTTACCATCAGCAAAATATATAACTGTAATCTTACATAAGTTATTATGGCCTGAAAACTTGCGCAAGTATTACAAATCAATGTGGCATATTTCATAATACCTTATTATAGAGTTTTATTTTCGAAATATTTTGAAATAGAGATTTTTAAAATAGCACCACGGTGCACTCCTATATCACGTAGTTATAATCGATATATGATATAAATATTACATTTTTTTAATTTATTAAAAATAACTAAATACGTACTAAAATAAAAAAATTTATCTATATCGTAACGAAATTTTTATTATCATAACGAACATTTTTATCATCGTAACAAATAGTTTTGAACATCAACTAATATATAATCTATCCTATTTAACAATCTAACCCTAACTATTCTAACCAAACGATGTTGCAAACATCTAACAAATCATCAAAACGTCATCAACACAGTCCCAGAAAGATACTACCAGAATACAAACTACGAAATCACAATAATAATGCATCACACAATCTCAATGAAGCATGCAAAATTTTCAACAAGCGAACTAATTCATCAAAGAACAGCACCACAAATCCACGACACATAAACTACTACCAACGATGCATCAGTGTGACAAGCAAGGCAAGAAAGAAAACCAACTTGAAACTTGACCTGGAACATCATACGCCTCAAGAAAGTTCATAAATGTCTAGGAACAAAAAGAAACTCAAAGTACTACACAAAAAATACGAATGACGTTACGAACAAAAAATAATAGAATGAAAAAAAAAACAAAAAAAAAACAAATGCACGCCTGAAGTAGAATTCGACACCAATGACAAACGTCAAAAGAAAATGGACAAAACCAATGAAGAAAAACGGACTAGCCAAATGCAAGCGAACACAAATAAAAAAGCCTGAAATGGACTTAAAGAAAAATAAATACAGTATTGTTAGTGCAAGAACTAAACTGTATAAAACAAACAAATATACATAGACACCCTACGACGAACAAGAGCGATTCCAGCAAATTGCAACACCAACAACACCAACAACACAAGAAACCAACCTCCAGTGAAAGAGAAACACTGGACTTAACGATACCAATGATACAAAGTACCAAAAAATGAAAAAAAAACACAGAACAGGATAATACCAACAACGCAAGGCACCAACCAGCAAAAGAAGCACCAACTGGATGACACCGACAATGCAAGAAAAGGCACCAACTGACTGCAAGAAAAGACACCAGCCAACAAAAGAAGATGATGAATTTACTATCTAAAAAGAAATAAATAAATAAAAAAATAAATACTAATATACAGATATATAAAAATATGACAAAAGCAAAAAAAAAAATCGAATAACTTATATCTTTTTATATCAGCCCTGTGTAACTGGTGATGATCACTGATGTAATATACATAATTTAAAGCACATCATAAATGTATACAAGGTTATGTTGAACACTGAATTGAAAAACTTAAGTGCAAATTTTAATTTACTTTGTATTCAATATTCAAGTATACATATACACCTAAAATTTCGTGCTAAAAACTTTTGCTTAGAAGTCAAACTACAGTTATCATAGTAAAATCTTGAGTTATTTGCAATTTTTCTATTTTCTTAGATAACTCAAAATTTTACTATAACTGTGTAGTTTGACTTCTAAACAAAAGTTTTTAGTATGAAATTTTAGATATATAGGTACACTTGAATATTGAATATAAAGTAAATTAAAATTTGCACTTAAGTTTTTTTTATTTGGTAATTGATATAACCTTGTACACATTTACGATGTGCTAATTTAAAATCAGATAAATTTGTATAATATAAAAATTATGTGATTGAAAAAATTTTACATAGGCTCTTGTCTGTACCTTTTTCTTCCTTTATCATCGCATTAACTTCTATTAATATCTACACTTGGGGGAGTAATCCCCTTCTTTTTTTTGGCACATCTGCGTTTGTGCCTTATTTTAAATTATTTTAAAATGGAGAGGTTTAGAAAGTGAGGTTTATTTTCTAATGCCTCTTCAATGCGGTTAATTTTTTCTCAATGAGTAGCTAAAGAAGTTGGTGGTTGAGAAGTTTGATGGTCTTTATTTGATGCTGTAGTAGGTTGACTAGAAGTTGGTTCTTTTTCAGGTTTAGAGGTAGTGATTGATGAAGAACCTGTTTTTGATAATCTTCTAATGCTTTTTCTACTTCATAATCAATTAGCACCTGGCAAATATCCTCTAAATTACCTTCCATAATAAAATTTAGTCAGTTTCAACTAGTTCTACCCAGTGGTCAGTAATTCGATTATGGGGTCAATTATAGGTTCTAATTTTTTTGGCTCTTTCCGAAGTACCAATGGCTGAAGAGCGCAAATTGCATTGGCATCGGATATAGTTATCGTATATTTTTTATATTTTTGGTCTTTTACTTTGATATTTTCAAATTTTTTCTTTAATCCTATCTTACTATTCATATTTATAATTTTATATTAACTTATTTATTTTAATTTACTGATTTAATATTTTGTTTGGAACTCTTTTAGTTGGAATACTCTTTTTTTTCCAGTTTGAAGATTCATTCCCATATATTCATCCTATTGACTTAAAACACTTAGATATTGGCATGTTTTCTATAAGTTAGATTTATATATTGAAAACTTCTATCGTTTTCAAGAAAACCACGTTATAAATGAAAGATTTAAAGAAAGAAAAACTTGACTGGTACTTGTTTGAGATTGGGATATAACATTAGTCTTAAAGGGCTATACACTAACTTGAATATGCACAAAAAGACAATATTTCATATATTTATATATATTTTCAATTTTATAAAAGACTCTTTCATATTAATAGCTTCTAATCCAAGTTCTTTCATGTTAATAATATCCAATTTAGGGTCTTTTTCACTATTAATTTCTGAATCGGTTATGATCATCTCAGACAAGTCAGATAACTCAAAAGTATTTGTGGATGATAAAGATTCTAGAGAACCTTTAATTGTTAGATCTCTACTAACGGTCATCTTAGGAAAATTTGGTATGAATTATAATTCTTATAATCACAAAAAATATTAGTCTTGACACACAAAAAAAAGAGCTTAAATAGTGTGAAAATTATGACTAATAAGTAATCAATCAGCCAAATAAATTGTACAAAAAAAGCATAGAATCAATTCATTCTCTCGGACTGTTTCGCTTCGATTTTTGTTGATAACACATTTTTGACAAATATTAATTTTTTGGAATTTCAACTTTAGTCCAATTGACGAATTCTTGATCGTATCTGACTCTTTTAATATTAGCACCTATTTGTGTAATATATTTATCACATAGAAGCTAATTTGATATCTGGAGCCTTTTTATATTCTTGTCAAGTTTTATTAGTTGACAAGAACAGTCTTTCCTATAAACTTTCGTACACACCAAGCATATTAGGCAAGTGTTCAATGATAAGCGTAAGAGAATTCATATCTTTCTACGTATATATTACTTACTTAAAATTAATAGAAACATAGTAGATTTAAACACATTATTTAAAACTTTTAGTAGCTTCTATAAATTAAAGTATTATTTATTATTCAACGATGTAATTTAGATATTATATTAATATTACAGTAAATAAAAATTGGACAAAATATTTTTTATATACCGATCATGCCAAAAAAGTAATTTGAAAATGATACTGGATTTAAAATTCGGGTTGGCGAGTCATGGGTGATATGAAAACCGAAAATATAACTTATTTGCATATATGTGAACTATTTCGAAATTTTTTACTTAATGTAAAAAAGCCGTAATATTATATAAGAAATTTCAAAATATTTCGAAATATCTTATATAATATTTTGTAATTTGATATTTCACAATATTTCAAAATTTCTTATATAATATTACGGCTTTTTTACGTTTTGTAAATTATTATGAAATATTACGGTCTTATAAATTTGCTGATAATGTCACAAGTAAGGAATATCTGAAGATTGAAGACTTAATTTACTACAATGTCACAAGGTTCTTATATTATGAAGATCAATTTGATTAATTGTTATTCTAATTAGTGATAACAATAGATTACGTGTACTATTAAGTATATATATAAGGGTTTTAACTATTAATCGATTATTTCTTCTTCTTATACTTGTTATCTTGGAGAGTATGATCGATTAGAGTCTTTTGGAGACAAGAATGTGTATCTTAAAGGTTAATTTACAATCAGAGAAACTTAGAGTTAACACTTCTACTTGGATTTTAAAGGCTGAAGCTCTACTTGGGTTACATTATGATATAACAATAATACAAAAAAAGTATTTGAATAATTTATTAGGAACGACAAGATAAGTAAAACTACTGGAGTACTATTTTGAAGTTTTACTTAACTGAGTTCTGTCTTTATTTAGATAAAAGGAGCTTCACTTTTATACTTTTTTTTACAAGATATGTAATTACAGATTTTTTTTTGATAACACTTAAACGCTAAAAGGACTATAGGTTTCAAAGGGCAGATAGGTCTTAAGGGTCGTATAGTTACTTAGATTATAAATACCTTTAATGGTATTTATGGCCTAAGTGCTATAAATGAAAAAAAGGTATTTAAGGGAATATTATATAATTACTATTTTTAGAGTTTAACATTATAACTAATTCTGATAAAAATATCATATTATAAGGTAATAAATTAAAAAATAAAAATTAAGGTCCAAGGAATCCTTCACACTATGCTATTTCATAAAACATGCATATACATGCTACACCCATGCCATTTCGTACATTTCTAAAACCAACCTGTACCACTTTTCTTGTAGAGTCTAAACTTGATGTAATTATTTTTTTTTACTTCAATTAAATAGACATATAAAATTAGAATAACAAAATTTCTATTGATTTTAGAAGTTATCGAGATTGAGATATCTTTGCTCAATTTTGGAAAAAAATTTGCTCAGCTTTGTTTTGATAGTTATTCAAGTTGAGCGAGATTCCTTAACAAACACCTAACTAAAATCAATAAAAATTTTTTTTATTCTGATTCCTTATATCTATATTATTAAAGTAAAAAAAAAAAATTACACCGAATTTAGATAGTGGTTGTTGAGATATCCTTATTAGAAGTTCGAAAAAATTAATTAATAATTGATTAATTTTGTCAATCATAACATGACGGTTCAAGTAGAATCTAACTTAAGCAACAATCGTATATATTGAAAATTTTTAAATGAGATTTAACTAAATTTGGCGATATTAAAATTTGTAAACTAGTTATTAATATAATAAATGCTATCAATTAAAAAAAGTGTGATATAAAAATTATGTTTCTTTCAAAAAGTGTACTTTTAGTTATGTTTAAAAAATGATTACAATATCTTATATGTAAATAAAGAAAGTTAATTTTTTCAACATTATTAAAAAATCTTCCTAATTATGGTTTGATTTACTTCGCACTTGCTCACATGATACATGGTTTACCAAAATGCAAGCCTTTATATCTCTTGTTAGTAATTACTTATATTCTTTTTTGACATCTTTTTTATATGAAGCCTTTTCTACTAGTAAAATTTAAAAGATTCACTATGTTGAATAGCATGATTTGAATGTTATTCAAACTGCTTTTCGAATTGCCATTCAACAATATCACATGATTTCACAAAAATTCATGTTTGTGAAGTCGTGTGATAATGTTAAATTGCATTTAAATTGTGCTATTCAACATGGTGAATCTTTTAATTTTACCATATTCTCAGCTCTTAGTTTCACTAGTTATTAGCAAATTTCCAAGCCTCAAAAATCCTCCAAGCCAACAACTTCATTTAACTAGTTCTCTAGTCAAGTTCCAACTCTTTAGATAAGTTCTGGTAGTCAAACGGCTAATAGTCGATTAAGACCAAGTCTAAGATATAAAAAAATATAGTTATATATTTAGAATACTTGTCCAAGTCACATTTTCATCTCAGTTAAAGCCTAAATTATATTGTAATTTTTTTTTTTAAATAAATATTTCATGGAAAGTTATATGATCGAACTTGTTTATATTCTTTATAAACGCATACCCTCTATAATTGCACTTTATATCTCGGTTACAACTAATAATAACACTTATAAAACTAAATTCATTATAAAATTAGATATTCTAATTTGATTATATTTAATAAGTTATGACGATTGTTTTGCTATAACTCATATTTTTTTGTGTGTTAAATTTCATGAAGTCAAAATTGTATAAAAATTGTAATTTTCATAACAAATTTTTTTTTTAAAAAAAATTATAATTTTAGCTTGCTGAATTTTTTTTTTAAAAAAAAAAATTAGTAATTTTATATGACGATTTTAAAAAAAATTGTAATTTTTCATGCCAAATTTAATTTTTCTAAAAAAAATTGTAATTATCATTAACGAAATTTTTTTAAAAAAATAGTAATTATTGTTGACGAAATTATTTTTAAAAAAAAATTGTAATTTTAGTATAACAAATTTTTTTTTTAAAAAAAATTGTAATTTTTGTATAATGATTTTTTTTATCGTAATTTTTCATGATGAATTTTTTTTTAAACATAACGAATTTTTTTTAAAAAAAAATTGTAATTTTAGCATGACGATTTTTTTTAAAAAAAAAATTGTAATTTTTCATAATGAAAGTTTTGGAATATTTTTTTTTATAAAAGAAAAACTTTTTGAACTTTTTGTATTTGGAATTTTTTCTTTATAA